TTCGTGCCACCCAGCAGGTCATTCCCTAGGCTGTAGGTGTGCTGGACATTTTTCCTCCCTAGGTGCAGCACTTTGCATTTCTCCTTGTTGAACTGCATTCTGTTGTATTCTGCCCACTTGTCCAACCTGTCCAGATCTGCTTGCAGCTGTTCCCTGCCCTCCGGCATGTCCACATCTCCCCATAGCTTTGTGTCATCTGCAAATTTGGACAGAGTACATTTCACTCCCTCGTCCAAGTCACTGATGAAGACATTAAAGAGTATCGGTCCAAGGACCGAACCCTGTGGGACCCCACTGCCCACACCCTTCCAGGTCGAAACCGACCCATCCACCACGACTCTCTGGGTGCGACCCTCCAGCCAATTCGCCACCCACCGGACTGTGTAGTCATCCAAGTCACAGCCTCTTAACTTGTTCACCAGTATGGGGTGGGATACCGTATCGAAGGCCTTCCTGAAGTCTAAGTATACGACATCCACCCCTCCTCCTGTGTCCAGGCGTTTCGTAACCTGGTCAATTGGATCCATTGACTTAATGAGATAACTCACTAAGAGATTAATTCATTAAGAATTACAGAAAAAAGAGTCCATGTAGAGAATGGAAGTGAAGAATAGGTTTTAATGGTAAAAAAGCTAAGCCCAAATGGATATCACTCCCTTAGGCTGAAACGTGAGGAAGAATGTCTTGCATTCAAAAACTTGTCTAACTGTCCCAGCTGCATAGTTGGTCCAATAAAAGATATCACTGTAATAAACCCTTGCCTCTTTGCCAAAAAATTCATTTTGAAAAGCCAGTCAAGAGAAATTGGGACCACTACTGGCTTTTACAAGGCCACTGATGGCAAGGTTTGTCAGCACCTCCTTTGCAGAGGGCAAGGTGCTAAAGGTTCTTGAGACCGTGATTATCTAGCCCCTATTCAACAAACTACTGCTCCTCAGCCAGTTATCTCTCTATCTCCCACCTCTCCTTTTGGGGGAAGGTCACTGAACTGGTGGTTGCCTGACAGCTCCAGGCACATCGGAATGCACGACCCTTGCCACTCTGGCTTCCACCTTGAGCTTTTTGCCTTCAAAGACAATCTTTGTTTAGAGTTCAGCAGAGGAAATTATACCCTGCTGACCTTGCTAGATCTTTAACCATCTTTGATACAGTCGACCATAGGAGATCGACACTGCCAGGCACTGGATGGCAGTAACAGGGGCTGAGTTCAGTTTGGGGTTTTACACAAATTTTCCATCATGGCTCAAGCCCTCACTCCGAAACCTGGGAATATAAATGCTACTTGGGAATTCCAATATGAACAACTTCCCATCAGTAGGGGTGTGCAAAATGGGCTGTATTCTATTTGGATTCAGATTTGGCCTAAATTAGGGGACAGTGATTCGATTCGTTGATTTGGATCACTGTCTTGATTCGATTTGTCCAAATTTGAAGATTCAATGCTGATTCGGAGAATCAGCGGTTTGACCATAGACACAGCTTTATATATTTATTCTACATACCTCACGGAACCAGGTGCAGCTCATGAATACTGAGATGGTAGGGCAGATGGAGTGTGCCACAGGAGCATGGAGGGTCCCCTGCATGCTCATCGGCGGATCCAGAAGTGGACCGGAAGTGTTTCTGGTCTACTTCTGGGTCTGCTGCTTAGTGCTTTGGGGATGCCCATCACACTCCCGGGGGACACTGCATCTACCCCAGCATCTCAGAATTCACAAGCCACCCGGTACCTTGAGGTATGTAGAAAAAACATTTAAAGCTGTGTCTATGTCTGAATCATTGAACCTCTCTGAATCTCTCCGAATTGATTTGGAGGGTTCCGATTCAATTCGGAAAGATTAAAGGGTCTCTTGATTCAATTCGGAGATTTGGCTGCCGAATTGGGCTGAATCTCCGCCAAATCGAATCAGCGACTGAAGCTTCGCACAGCCCTATCCATCAGGCATCATTATACTATAACAGGGTTTATTAAAGGGGGAAATAAAGGGACTAACAACAATCTCAGGAAAAACCTGAATAGTTAATAGCCCACCCCAACCAATTATTAACAGTTTGTCACAGTCACTATGGTCAGAGTTCTCTCCCAGTCTGATACAGGGTGTATTTAGTAGCTAGTGGGGGGCAGTGTAGCTGATAGTCCCCAAATTCCTGTTGCCTCACCACCGCTTGGTGCTGTGCTGCCACTGCTCCTTATCACCACTGGGGTGCTGCTTTGGTGCTGCTGCCATTGAGAGTCCTGCTTCACCACTGCTGCTGCCATTCTTCCTTGCCACTACTGGGGGTCATTGTCACTGTCACTGCTTCTATATACTGATGCCATCCAGGTCTCTAATCCCTTGAGAAAGCTCAAGGATCTCAGCACTTTTAGAATCTAATGGATATGGGTCTCAACCTGACCCACTGTATGTACACCACATTTTTAGTCTCTTTTAGAAACAAGTGGGTAACAACTCTCAACTGAACACATTTCAGGGATTTGTACATCATGAGCATTCTTTGCTGTGAGGCTTGATAGCAAATGCAATGCCTTCCCAGGGGTAGCTCCTGCTTGTTCAATGTGCCCTTCTTGTTCAGTGTGTATATGAGGCCACTGGGTGAAATCATACAGAGATTTGGGATGACATACCCCCAGTATACTGATGACACTTAGTTCTCTCTTCCTTACTTCCCTGACCTGGATCCACATTCTATGTCCTATCCCAGTACCAGGCTGCAGTTGGGGATTGGATGTATGTGAACCAACTGAAATTGAATCCAAATAACACAGAGATGATGGTGGTGAGCAGACCACTTGTTTTGCGGGTATTGGAATACCTATCATCAATGGGGTTCAGCTTTCACTTGTCACTCAAGTTCACAGCCCTGGGAGATTTGTGGATCCTCTGCTGCCCCTGGATCTCCAGATGCCAATGGTGGCTAGAAGTGCTGTTCACCAACTTAATCTGGTGAGAAGGCTGTCACCCTTTCTTTCAGTTCTGATCACCATCATCTATGCCTTCATAACCTCAAGTCCTACTGCAATGTGCTCTACATGGAACTGCTCTTGAACATAAACCCCAGTAATCCTTAATGTGTCTTTTTAGGCAACCCTATGAGAATGGTGTAAATTTAGCTGGGGTCCCAGTGAGCAATGAAGAATTATATGGGAGTGAAAAACTGGCTGGATCCATTTAACTGTTCAGCTGCAAATAATCCAAAAGTTAAGAGTGGCATTTAGATAGAACAGAGAGTTCAGAGGATCCTGAGTGGGTATCTCAAGGTCTCACCAGGTGTTTTTTTTCTTGGAGCATGCTAGAACAGGTACTCAGGTCTGCTCTGAGCTGCTCTGCTTAATTGCTGGTCTCTGGTGCACCTGACTGGAAGCAAGGGTGAGGCTCATTTTGTTAACAACAGACCCAGTATCAAAAGGTAAGTGGTGTAGACATGGCCTAAAAATATCAACTATTTTATTTGGTCACATGTGTTCAGAAAGTGTGACAAAGGAAATAAGGGTCGTAAAGTTCTTTGTTTCTCACAGTTATTTTCTCTTTCTCTTCTGCAGAGGGGAACTGTTTTCCAGAATGGGATGGCTTAATTTGTTGGCCAAGGGGGTCACTGGGAAAAATGTTGGCCGTTCCCTGTCCTCCTTATATCTATGACTTCAATCACAAAGGTACCATTTTTGTAGTTATCATAGGCTGTATCTGAACCAAATGAATAGCTGAGTAGAATAAAGGATTAATTAAACTAACCAAGGCTCCTTTCCTCCTTTCAGGAACAGCCTTCAGGTACTGTAGCCTTAATGGAACCTGGGATTTTGTGCAGAGTTTAAACAGAACATGGGCCAATTACTCTGAATGCCTTCACTTCTTACAGCCGGAAATCAACTCAGGGAAGGTATGGCAAGTTTTCCCAAGGGAGAGTTTAAGTGGAAAGAATAGGTCCTCAAATTTGTGTCTTGGCATTAAGATTTCCACATGTCTGTAAAGAACCATCAAGGAGTAAAAGTGTGTTTTATACTGTTGTCCAGTCATTGACATCATTTACCCAATAGTTTTAAATGAAGTAGAAGCTAATTTAAATAATGCAGAAGGAAAGGAACAAAAGATACCCGAAGCTCTTTCTTCGGTAAAGTGCTTCTCACCATTCTGAATTTAGTTGCATGGTCTAAATTCAACCTTGGCAAAAGAATTGCAAGGCCTGCACCTACTTTCTGCAAGGCTGAATTAGCTTGAGATTCCTGGCTCAGAAGTGTGGGCCCTTTATTCCAGTGACTGGGTGGGGAATCAGGGAAACGTGGGTTCTTTAGAAACAGAAAGCTGAAAGGTACCACCCAAGTCACTGATTCAAGTCCCTTAGAATTACAGACAACAATATAAGAAGTACTTATCCAAAAGAGTACACAGGAGCATCCTTTCAAGTCCATCTTGAAAAACGCAGCCACAAAGCACTCAATCAAAAAACCTTACAGCATGCCATAGGGATAGACAGTTTAGGGAGACAATGGTGTTGGACACACGTACATTTTGCAGTACTATAAAAAGTAACACTTTATAGAACTGCAAAAAAATAAAGTGCTATGGGGGCATGCATATTCCCCTGGCTGGAGTGCTACAAAGGCACCTCAAAAGGTACACCTGCCAGCTGTGGGGAAGGGGGATAGAGAGTGGCAGAGGGCTGCTCCTTTTTTTCCCCTCCTCAGCCCCTGATCACTGAGAGCCTGCCCTTTCCCTGTGGGGGCAGAGGGGCAAGCTGTCAGTGATCAGCTGGCAGCTGCCAGTGGGAGCAGCAGCTGTCAAAGACAGCACCCACAACTGCTGCCACCATTGTGGGGGCCTCAGCCCCTCTCAAGTGGTGCTTACAGTGGTGGTGTTGGCAGAGGCAGCTGTTGCCAGTTCTCCCACAGTGGTGGTGGCAGTAGCAGGGTCTTAACAGGGCTCTGTGACAGCTTGTCCTGACTGGGCAGGCTCCAAGGAGCAAGCCTCTCTCTCACTCCCATCCCCTTTGGAAAAGGGGAGGGAGAGCAGTATCCTTTGGAGAGACTCCGTGCCATGCTACATATGATGCTACAAAACACAGTGCTATACAGAAGTAAGAGGAACACTTTCGTGGTAAATCCACCATTTGGGGGCACTACAGATGGTAGTGGGCACTCATTGTCTGTAGTGCTACAAATGTAACAGCTAAGGGCACCACCAGGTGCCTTGCCACTGCAATGACAGCTAACTTGTTAAATTAATATAATATGCTCTGTTGGCAAAAAACACCTTTGCTCTTTGCCAATCTGACATGGAAAGAAACCTGTTCCTTGGTTTTTCCTTGAATAGGATGTGGCATGCAATTGATCAGCATTATTTAAAAAAAAACCCTCAAATATCTTTATGTATACTTTTCCCTAAATAATGTCAGTGAGGCCTATAGCTTTATGACTGTGAGTAGTTTGAGTCATATTTTAAAGGCACTGAGTTATTTAACTGTGCAGCCTGGCTCTTAGTAGGAGTTCAGAATCTCCTATGTGCACAACTCCCACTGAAACTGATATTTATCTTGCAGCTGGGTGCCCACATAGATCCCAGTGCAGATTCAGGGTCGGAAGATGCTAACTGTTTCACTCTTATACCTATCTTTGCTGTATTATAGATTTCCAGCAAACTGGCTTAGAGCTATCCTCTTAACAGCAAAGGTATTGACAAACAGATTCAGAAATAAATGCAGCAATAAAAGTGTAATCCCTTCAGCTCCAGGATATTAAAACCATGACTATTTAACAGAAAATGGGGAAAGGATAAAGGAGTCCAACTGCATAAAGGGACTAATATTTCTAAACTGGCCTCCTGTTATCTGCTGTGGGGCAGGTTGTAGTATGTCCATATAGTAGATCAAGACTACCCATTCCTTCACAGCTTCCCCTTATCTTAGCTGCACAGATGGAAAGCTCCACATAGCTTATGTTTCTCAACCCTAGGAGGAAAACAGATAGCAGAATTAAAAGAAGTGAGAACCTTAACTCCACTCTCTCCACTGCTCACAGTAGTGGAGCTGAGCCTACATAAGGATGGGAAAATATGTTCCTGTCTGTATCCAGTTACCCTCATCAGCCATAATGAGTGGGGGAGCTGACACTGAACCAAAGTTCAATGCTGCCAAATCATGGTTTCACTATGAGTCTCATCACAGTCAGTGCTTCTCTTCAAGCTCTTGCCACAAGCTTTTTATCATTACCTGGCGAATTCAGTTTCTATTTTCTTAACAAAAGTAAGTTTCTAGCTTTCTTGGATACAGACTAAAGCTTAAAAGAGTGATCCCCACTAATTAGAAAATCAAACGCAAATAAAAAGAAACCCAAATATATTCTTTTAAAAAATCTACTTATATCTACTGAGGTCTGTGATCTTACACCAGGAATGAATTTGGCCCTATCACATACACATGATGTGTGGTTCTTTTTAGGTGAAACTGGATTATTGGAGATTCATAGATTCCAGGGTCAGAAGGGATCAGTAGGCCATCTTGTCCGACCCCCTGCCCCTGGCAGGCCAGAAAAGGGGCACCAAACCTGGGATCATGTGATCCCAGCCAGGTGCTTGTCCAGTCTCCTCTTGAAGACCCCCAAGGACGGGGCGAGCACCACCTCCCTTGGAAGCCCATTCCAGAACCTGGCAACCCTGACTGTGAAGAAGTTTTTTCTAATGTCCAGTCTAAACCTACTCTCCAATAGCTTATGGACATTGTTTCTTGTTATTCCAGGGGGTGCCCTGGTAAACAGATCATTGCCTACTTCATGCTGCTCCCCCCTTATGAATTTGTACACCACCACAAGGTCCCCTCTCAGCCTTCTCTTGGAGAGGCTGAAAAGGTTACGGTCCCTTAGCCTTTCCTCATAGGGCCTTCCCTGCAGGCCTCCAATCAGATGAGTTTGGACCCTCTCCAGGTTGTCTGCATCCCACTTGAAGTACGATGTCCAGAACTGGACACAGTACTCCAGCTGCAGCCTGACCAGTGCCGCATAGAGAGGGAGAATCACCTCCCTGGACCTGTTTGTGAAGCACCTACGGATGGACGACAAGGTGCAATTGGCTCTGCCAACTATTTCATCACATTGATGACTCATGTTCATCCTGGAGTCAACTGTGACTCCAAGATCTCTTTCTGCCTCAGTGGTGCTGAGAAGGTCCCCCCCAGTCTATAGGTATGATGGCAGTTCTTCCTCTTTAGATGCAGCACCTTGCACTTGTCCTTATTGAATTGCATCCTGTTGTTTTCTGCCCACTTCCCCAACCTCTCCAGGGTGTTAGCTTCACCCCATATTTTAGTGTCATCCACGAATTTGGACAGGGAGATTGTTTAGCTTATGCTGACTAACCAGTGAAGGTGCTTTCATTTTCTTTTTCAGAGGGATTTCTTCGAACGTCTCTACATCATGTACACTGTTGGATATTCCATCTCCTTCAGTTCATTGGCAGTGGCTATTTTCATCATTGGCTACTTCAGGTGAGTGAGTCTAGAGCCAGCTTCTGTCAGTTTTCTTTGGTCCAACATGATAAAATCATGTTCCTCATTCACAGAGAGTAGCTTGGTTTCTCTTTTCTTATATTCCTATGTATGGAGCCAAGTGTACATAGTGTGCAATGTGTAGAGTGGTTTTCAATGGCTACTTTGCAGTTCTGCATACCTTAATCGAATAATTTTGCTTAAAGGGAAAATAATTTACAATAACTACATAAAAATTGCAAGCAGCAACAGACTTGATAGGATTCCTGTCTCCAGAATTGTTAAAGGTGACACATGCAGCGAATCACAGAATGGTCAGAGAATGGATTTTTCAGACCTGATGGCTTAATTTGTAACTGAAACGGCTGGCATCATGTGGACCTATCCATTTCAGTTATTGATAGAAAGACTACTGCTGCTTGCTCCAGCTGTTAAGCATTGAATGCTTACTCTAACGTTCACTTCTGAAAGATTTTTCATTTTGAAATAACCAAAGCAGGAACAGACTTACAGACTCCATTTCAGTTGGCAAGGTTATTACTTATATTATAGTTTCCAACAGCATGCTTGACATTTCACAGAAGGCACAGAAAAGCAGAGACCTTACCCCTCCTTGTTCCTCTTTACACTTGTTGGCAAGAAAATTGGTACAGCTTAAAAGAAGTTCTGAAAGTCCTGCTTTTGGCCAAGGAAAGACACTGCAGAAGACAGCCATACATGTGCCTTCTGAAAATTCCACTGCACATCTCTGCGTAGGGAGCATGCAGGAGCAGTATATCAGGGAAAGGGGCATCTCACCACAGAACATGGGTGCTGATTCTGAGCAGTGCAGTGATCAGAAGACAGTCTGGGATGGGGGGGTACTGTAACTTAGAGTAGGTCTACAATGCAGTTACTGAAACTCATATAAGAGCACCTGAATGAGCTCTGAACTGACAAGCTGCTGCATTGCTAGCAGCTTATCTTTTGCTTCATGGAACTCAGTGTAGGTAAATGCTTGAATGGGTGCCCTGTGTTGAGCAACTTGCTTCTGTGGCTATACTGCTAGCAGAACCTAACCTAACTAATTTAAAGCTGTCTACATGAGCTGCAGTCGTAGCAGTAGCTGCAGTGTAGACATACTGTTAGCATCCTGGCTTGTTTCCCTGAGCTGTAGTTTCAAGGTTTTGCCTCTAAGGCAATCACAGTACCAGATGGCTTGCAATATACATTTGCCCTGTGACAAAACTCTCAGCGACTATCTATATCAGGGGTGTCCAACCTTTTTGAATATGGGGCCATATCACGAACTTTTTATCACCCAGTGTGCCGGCGAGCCATATTCAAAGACCTCACAGGAACTGACATCAGGAAGTGATATCATATGACATTTGACACCAATGAAGTTGCAGGAAGTGACAATGAAATGGATCTGCTCCGCAGGCATTTCTTATGTTTTTAATTTTACTCTCTATCTTCTCTCACTGTGCCTGAAATACACAGAACTCTTTCATGCTCTGGCTGCAGAAAACACAGGTGATTGAGGCACATCAGGTGAAAAACATCTGTGCACCACAATACAGTCCTGTTGCACTAGTACTATTTCAGATTGTACCCCTGGAGTAAATCTCCAAGGCAAGAAATATGTTGGCTGTTTGGCACAGCTCTCCAGTGCTGCAAAAATATGTATACCAAGGCAACAGACAAACTAGATGTACTAAATAAACAAATAATACTCATATTTAATAGGACAAATCCATTGAAATCAATAGGAGTGTAACAGGGTACTGTCCCAGGGATGGCCGTGACATCCCTGGAGCTCCCCACTCAAAAGGGAGGCTGCCCCAGAGCTCCCCAGGCTAGATCGCATATTCCTGAACACAAGTGTCACTACTCTTTGCCTTCATGGCTAATCACCTGGTCCCCTCATCTCCCTTCCCCTCGCTGCCAGCTGGGGCCCGCGGGCCGGCCCTGCCTGCTTTGCCACTGCCCCACCGCGGCTCCGCCAGTGCTGCCACCACCACCGCAGCTCCACACTCCTTGGCAGCATTGCCACTGCTGCGGCTCCCCGCTCCGCGGCGGCCCCCCTTGGGGCCCGG